CAGAAGGAGCATTGATTACTTTGAGCTGTGGTGCCGGAGAAGAGTATTGAGAGTTCCATGGACTGCTAGGAAAACAAACAGATTCAGCCTGGAAAGGGTTAAACTGGGTGGCTCCTTGGGACCAAGGATTCTGAGGCTCCGTCTAATATACTTTGGACATGTTGTGAGGAGAGACCAGTCCTTGGAGAAAAACATCATGCTTGGGAGGGTGAAGGGACAGCGTAGGAGGGGAAGGCCCTCTATGAGGTGGATTGATTCAGTGACTGGGATAATTGGGATTGGAGTATCAGAGACATTGCTATTGGCATAAGACAGAGGAGAGTTTAGGGCTGTTGTACATAGGGTTGCTATGAGTTGCAAGTGACTTGACGGCACATAACAACAACAACATACTCCAAAAATATGAAAACCTAGAAGAAATGGACAATACTTAGAAATGTACAACCTACCTAAACTGACACAAACTGAAATGGAACGCCTGAACAAGCCCATTAAAAAAGAAGAAATTGAAAAGGTAATAAAATAACTTCTAGCCAAAAAAGCCCTGGACCAGATAGTTTTACAAGTGAATTTTTTAAAACATTCAGAGAAGAATTGTCACCAATTCTACATAAACTATTTCAGATAATAGAAAAAGATGTTCTCCCAGAATAATCATTCTGTGAAACAAACATATTCTAGATGCCAAAGCTAGGAAAGGACACCACCACAATGGAAAACTATAAGCCAAAATCGCTTATGAACATAGATGCAAAACTCCTGAATAAAATCCTGGCCAATAGAATACAACAATACATTTAAAAAAAAATTCACCATGACCAAGTGGAATTCATAATAGGTGTGCAAGGATGGTTCAACATAAGAAAAACAGTTAATGTAATTCATCACATAAACACAGGAAACAACAAGAACCACATGATCCTATCAGTTGATGCAGAAAAGTCCTCTGACAAAATCCAACACCCTTTCCTGATTAAAACACTCAACAAAATAGGATTAGAGGGGAATTTCTTCAACACAGTAAAAAGTATATATGCAAACCTGAGAGCCAACATTTTTCTCAATGGAGAGAGATTAAAGGCATTCCCTTTAAGAACAGGAAATAGGCATGGATGCCCACTATCCCCTCTCTTATTCAATACTTTATTAGAAGTCTTAGTGATAGCAATAAGACAATAAAAGGACATAAGAGGTATCCAAACTGTCAAAGAGGAGTTAAAATTATCTATGTAGATGATATGGTAGTATACTTAGAAAACCCTAAAGGCTTAGCAAGAAAACTGCTGGACATAGTTGACCAATTCAGCAAAGTGGCAGGATAAAATATCAGCATACAAAAATCAGCTGGATTTCTCTATAATGGTAAAGATAATACAGAATTGGAGCTAGGAAAAGCAATACCCTTCACAATAGCTAATCACAAGATTAAATACTTGGGAATAAATCTAACCAAAAGCACAGAGGATCTGTTCAAAGAAAATTAAAAAACATTACTACAAGAAACAAAAAGGGACCTGGAGAAATGGAAGAATATTCCTTGTTCATAAACAGGAAAACTCAATATTGTAAAAAAAGGCAATTTACACATTCAGTGCAACGCAGCTACCAATCCCATTCTTCAGTGAGTTGGAATCTCCAGTTTCATTTGGAATGGAAAGAGGCCCAGAATAAGCAAAGCACTCCTTTAAAAGAGAAACAAGGTACGAGACATTCCTAATTTCAAATCCTACTACATGGCCATGGTGGTCAAGATAGTGTGGTACTGGTACAATGACAGACACATAGAGCAATGGAATAGAATTGAGAATCCAGAAATCAGCACATCTACCTATGGTCAACTGATTTTTGACAAGAAGATGAAATCAGTTAAGTGGGGAAACAACTGCCTTTTTAACAAATGGCAAAATTGGAAAACTATCTGCAGAAAACTCAAGATCCACACCTCAGTCCATATATAAAAACCAAGTGGATCATGGACCAAGGTCTTTAAACTTCATTAAAGAATAGCTGCATATAGGTTGAAAAGTTATGGAGCTAGGATGCATCCCTGGTGTATGCCCTTTCCAATTTTGAACCATGCAGTGTTCCCTTGCTCTGTTCTGACGACTGCCTCCTGGCCAAAGTATAGGTTTCGCATTAGAACGATCAAGTGGTCTTGGATTCCCATTCTTCTCAGAGTCAGCCACAGTTTGTTATGATCCACACAGTCAAATGCCTTTGCATAGTCAATGAAACACAGATAGACATTCCTCTGGTATTCTCTGCTTTCAGCCAAGATCCATCTAACATCAGCTACAATATCCCTAGTACCACGACCCCTTCTAAACCGAGCCTGGACTTCTGGTAGTTCTCTGCTGATGTGCTGTTCCAGTCGTTTTTGGATAATCTTCAGTAAAATCTTGCTTGCATGTGAAATCAGTGAGATTGTTGTATCGTTTCCACACTCTGTTGGGTCACCTTTCTTTTAGGATAGGAACAAATATCGATCTCTTCCAGTCAGTTGGCCAAGTGGTTGTTCTCCAGATTTCTTGGCACAACTTGGTGAGCATGTCCAGGGCAGAACAGATTATCCGGGAGGCTGGGTTCTGAGGAGAAATGTGGGGTCAAGATCGGGGGATGATTTATCAGCAATCTGCATAGTGGAGTGGACTTAAGGGGGAGGGATTATATAACAATGAAAGAATTTTTCTTTTACTTTTCGAAGAGAAGAGCGAACTGCGGGGCGGGGCTTCAGCACTGAGAAAAGTGCAACAATGAATGAATAGAAATCCAAAGTCTGTAAACTTCCATTAAAATTCATAATAAAAAAAATAAAAATTTGTATGTCTTATTATTTGTTGTCATCTCATCTACTAGATCTCTCTTTAACTTACAGATTCTGTAGTATTCTTTTTTTCTTTTTCTTTTCTTATTGTGTACCGTGTAGTTAGATTTGACTAGCAGGAGAAGTTGTCCATCCTTATCCAGTGGAGCATCTGGTGGATCCTAACTGCATGCCTTCAGTATTGCAGCACAACTTCTTAAGGACTTTTTAATTTTGTATTTTATTTGGAAAACCTTATTATATAATTCTGTATCAGATTTATTTTTTTCTTTCTTGACTGAATCACATTTTGTGTTTCTTCCTGTCTTATAATTTTTGCTTGCTAGTAGATACTATGGATATTAGGAGTGATACTGGTTTTGGATTATATTTTCTGTAGAGGAATATTGAGGGGTTTTTTTTAAGCAGGTAGTTAAATTGTTGTATTGATGTTATGTGTTGGTTTTAAGCGTTATTATGAAAGTTTCGCTTTCACCAGTAAATAGTATTCCTGATTCCTGGAATGTCCTTTTTCCTGAAATGTCATTCATTCAGATTTTCTGTAGAAAGCCTGGGTGATTACCAAGCTACTTTTTTTTTTTTATAAACCTTAATATTACAACTTTGTTTCTACAAGAGTAAAAGGCTCCTTCCACTTCCCATTTTCACTTGAAGTTCTTCATAAAGAATCCCAGTAGTGTGATGGTTCATAATTTGTCTGCTACCAAAAGGACAATGTTTCAGACTGCCCAGCTGCTCTGAGGGATTTAGATCCTTGGGATGCACTGTAGGGCAGTTTTACTCTTCTACAGAGTTGTCATGAATCAGAATCAACTCAATGGCAAAGGATTTAGATTATTTTATTTTTTTAATGAGGAACTGTTTTATAGTCAGTGTGTATGTATATGTGTTTGCGCAGCCAGCCAAACATTTGTGCGTGCATGCTTGTAAAATTTGGATCCTCTTGAATTTTCTCTCAACTTTTAGCTGATTTGCCTGTTCCAGTCTCTAATTTCTCAGCTCAATAGGGGTCCACATTCTTCTTGATCTTCATTTTTTGTGTGCTAGTGACAAAAGTGTATCTTCAGGGAAGAAGTTAAGTATATATACATCTTACCTAGTATGATTTCCTTTTTCACAAGTCTAAGTAGACTAGTCTTTGATTTCACTTTGGTGACTTCAAAGAATTAGTTGTAATTATTGATTGGCTAGTGAGATTATTTTGACCTAAGTTACACTTTTATAAGAGTTGGAATGATACAGAATTTTGTATGTATTTTACTTTTACTTGACATTTTAATGTAAAAATTTTCAAAGTTCTTAAAATTTATCATCTATGCCTGTAATGATTTTACATGTTCCATTTTATGAATGAATATCCTATAACTTGTTTGGATACTTTGTTATTTTTAGAAATCAAATGCTTTGATGCTGTAAGTAGTGCTACTCACTTAGAAGAAATACATAATTTGAGTGTCCAGATACAGAATCCTTTATCACAAATTTACATTACATTACTTTGGGTGACGATAGTGATTACAAAATCTTTAGTTTCTTTGATAAAGTGTATTTATCTTTTCATATGTGCCAATTTTCTAATCAGAGGTGTGTGTTTTGTTTTTCCTTTCTCACCTTTGTTTTCTTCAGCAAAATAAAAGAGACAATATCCGTTCCTTAACTATGTCTGGCCATGTTGGTTTTGAGAGTTTGCCTGATCAGCTGGTCAATAGATCCATTCAGCAAGGCTTCTGTTTTAATATTCTTTGTGTGGGTAAGTGCCAAACTCTTCCTTTGTATTGTTCCTTCATGGTACATGAGCAGTGTGACGCTGCTGTTACTACTGTCAGTTTTGGGTTTCATGCCTTAAACTTTTTTTTAAAAAAAAAGAGAAAGAAAAACCAACCACAGAGGCACACAGTTAGTATCCACCAGATGCTCTGCTGGAGAAGGAGGGGCAATCTCCTCCTGTACCAGTCAGATCTGATTTAACGGTAAACATACACAAAATAATAAAATTTAAATTTAAGTTTTATTTAAAAGAAAAAAACAAAAAACCAACCAACACAAACATAACCACATTCCAGTAGTTTCTTTGGAGTTCTGAGTAACTTAACATACAAGCTTATTTCTGTGCTTCTCTGGTGACTCAGTGGGCCAGCTCTATCATCTATATACTATCATAGGTAACACAACCCTTGAAATTTTTGGGGCCCCTGAAATGACTTTAGGAGTTTAAAGGTACATTTTTAGCTGCAAAATACACTTGTGACTTTAGGAGTTTAAAGTTACATTTTTAGCTGCAAAATACACTTGTGAAGATACATGTTTCTTTATTTCAGGGGAAACTGGAATTGGGAAATCAACACTGATTGACACATTGTTTAATACTAACTTTGAAGACCATGAATCCTCACATTTTTGCCCACATGTTAAACTTAAGGCTCAGACGTATGAACTCCAGGAAAGCAATGTTCGATTGAAGTTGACCATTGTGAATACAGTGGGATTTGGTGACCAAATAAACAAAGAAGAGAGGTTTGTGTTTTGGTTTTTTCTAATAAAACAAGTTTTTAATATATTAAGAAATTGCCTCTTTTGCTCCATGGGCTGTGATTTAATTTTGTATCTTAGTAATGCTTACCTTTACTTCTAGACTTAATTTTTTAAGGAAGTAATTTCAATTCTTTTTAGAAAATGCACATTTATTTTCATCTGTAATGTAAATGCCAATCTATATTAAGTGGTTTGTACTAGTTTTCGTGGAGGATTTGTTTTACTAGGTGGAGAAAAAGACATACAATATACAATATAACATATATAAATAGAAACGTATTTGTGCATGCATTTTTTTTCTTTCCCCTTTTCAAAATTCTAACTCGAGTAACCAGTTACATCAATAAGCATTGTAGGAGAGGTTTGATAATGAAATTATTATATTTTATGTTGTATAATTCTTTTTTCCTATGGTTTTATAGAGGCTGATAATAGTCTATGTCAAATACAGTCTGTAAGAAGATATAAATGAGGACAAAACAAATTTGTTTTTTCCTTATTAGAATGTATACATTTATAATGCATAAATTTGATTATAAGACTTGTATAGACTGATTTACTAGAAGGAAAATATTTTGCAAAATGACTCTATGACTTATGCTAATACAATCTTTTTAATCCATTTGTCTTCTACTTGAAATATGAAAAAATGACTTGTATAAACCTTTTGGGGAAAAAGTACTGATATTTGGATTTTTTAAAAAAATTTATGATTTTAATGAAAGTTTGTAGAAAAGTTGGATTTTCATTCATTCATTCATTCATTGTTGCAAAGTTTTCTCCCTAGATTTGGATTTAACTACCATCTTATTTTGTGGTTTTTGTTTTTTCTGCCACCTTCATATTTCTTTCTTGTTTGTCTACTATTCTTATAGTTGTTAGTTTAAAATTGTAAATGGAATTATTTAACTTACTCAGATTTTTTTTTAATTTCAGTTAACATTTACAAAGGTTTTGGATTTCCATTCATTCATTGTTGCACTTTTCTCCTTACTCACATTTTAAAATGAGTTATTTTTGTACTTTACCCCTTTATTTTCATGCCAATGAAATAGAGCTTAGAATAGTTAAACTTCATGAACCACCTGCTAACCCGAAGGCTCTCAGTCTGAATCCACCAGTTACCACTTTGCAGGAGAAAGATGAACATTCTTCTCCCAGATGATTTACAGCCTCTGAAAACCCACTGGAGGGTCAGCTTGTGAGTTTGTTTCAACTTGGTGTCACATACTTATTGTTATCACGTATTTTGTCTTTTTAACCATTGTAGTGGTGTTGTGTACCGTTGAATAGGAACCGATTCATAGCTGACCCTCCAGCGAGTTTTTAAGGGCATTTAATCACATGGGAGAAGATTGCCCATCCTTCTTCCACAGAACAGCTAGTAGATTTGGACCATGTCCTTTTGAGATTGCAGCATAGCCTCTTGCCACTAGGCCACCAGTGACATAATTATTTTATTTGCATAGTGTCTTACTTCCTCTTAACCCTAAATTTTTGTTTTACACTCATACTTGGAATATTTGTCTAGCTTGTATTTCTGAGTTGATAGTTATTAATTTCTTTTCTTCTGACTGGGCACCACTCTCCTGTCTCTGGTTTCCATTATTTCTGTTGAGGCCAGCTGTCAGTCTTCCTTCCTCTTTTTTTTCCTCTATTTATATTGAGATTGTTTTTTTTGGGGGGGGGGATGTTGTTATTTTCACATGATACTTCTGAATTTTTATTTATTCTGTTTGTGATTTTGTTTGCCCTTCTGAATTAAAATACCATATCCTTCATCAATTCTTTTAAAAATCTTGGGAGGTTTTTTTTGTTTTTGTTTTTTTTTTATACTTTTATCATTTTATTAGGAATAATTCCAATGAGTTATGAAGAAACTTACTGAGTTGATGAGTTTTCCAAAAACTCTTAATGAAGATATGTTCACCAATAATAAAAAAAAACATCAGCAGAACTATTTATTTTACTGGGCAAAGAGTCAGGCTGATACCAAAAGCAACATGCAACATAAAAAAGAAAAAAAAAGGTACAATATAAAGGAAGACAAATCTGCTGAGTATTAAAAACCATCTCCGTAGAAACTCTTTGCAACCAGCACAGAACTAATTAGCTATCAGTTCCAACCCATACAAGTTTGGCTGACAGAAGCCAGGAGTCAATAATGGAAGGGTTACAAGGAGCAAGATTCCTCAGTGCAAGAGATTTGAATAGTGTTTTGGAGCACTTTGGTGGCTGGCACAAGCATCATGAGAAAATCTTTTTGGCAAGGGAGAGAAATAAATACAACAAATGGAATGCTTTCTTTTCAATCAGCAGACTGTCCCAGGAATGATAAAGGTGAAAGTAGTAAGGGGTTAACTTTAAAACATTATTTGTTGTGGGCTCAAAGGACATTCAAAACAAAAACTGATGAGTTGGTAAATGCTTTGCTGTGTAAATTCTCAACAACAAAATAAATAAAATTTAGAAAAGGAAAAAAATTAAATATCTTTTGGAACAAAATGGACATGCATAATATAGTATAAAACCTAATTTCTATTTTTCACAGAAATGATTTATGAAATTATAACAATTTTGCCTTTTAAAAAAAAAAGAAAAGACATTCAGAATGGATTTATTTAAAGGTGTCACATAGTTATGTCCAGGCATTTAGGCTTAAAAGAAGTAAAATTAAAAGAGGACACTTTTTTCCCAAGTTAAGGAGAATTTCTTTAAAACCAAGCACATTACTAAATAGCAACATTTCACTTGGTAAACAATAATTGGCAACAAAGTTTAAATGTTGTAATATTCTGCCCAAAACCAGTCCCACATACTGTTTAATAACCAAGATGCAAACTAATTTTGTTCTAACAAGCCTAGACCAATTCTATCAAATATGTCCTTGGTTAGATATCCGGTTTTCATTTAACGTTTTGAAAGCTCATTTGACAGCCAGTCAAGTCCCTCATACAGACCAGTTCCTTGTGTAGCACAAGTGGCTTGAACATACCATGTTCTGTTATGAAGAGACTGAAGACCTAATTTATCTGTCATTTCACTGATGGCCATAGCATTTGGCAAATCTTGTTTGTTTGCAAAAAGCAACAGTACTGCATCTCGCAATTATCTTCCTGAAGCATTTTCTGCAGCTCCTCTGCTCCTTCCTGAATTCTTTCACGATCGTTGCTATCTACCACAAAAATAAGACCATGGGTATTTTGGAAGTATTGCCTCCAGAGAGGTCTAATTTTATCTTGACCACCAACATCCCATACTGTGAAACAAATGTTCTTGTATTCTACTGTTTCCACATTAAAACCAATAGTTGGAATGGTGGTGACAATCTCGCCTAACTTCAGTTTATACAGAGTTGTCGTCTTGCCAGCAGCATCCAGTCCAACCATCAAGATACACATCTGCTTCTTGCCGAAGAGACGGGAGAGCAGGGAGGAGATGGTGAAACCCATGGCGGCAGTTGCACTTGCTACGGGCAGGAGAAGAGGTTTGGGACGTCCCCGGACCTTCTCCTATCACACCCCCAGCAAACTGAGTGACAGAGAATAAAAAGAGCTGAGGCAGGAAGAGACCGGTCGGGACAGCTCGCCAGCCGGTGCGTCTCACGGAGCCTCGGGACCCAGACAGCAATGAGCAGAGAGAGGACCTGCTCTGCGACTGGCGCAGCAGCTTCGGCTCTAGCATTAAGGATCTGCTTGTGCCCCGTCACGCGGTGGCCGCGGGGACTCCGGCGGCGGCCTGGCCCCTCCAACGTAGACAGCGGGAGTTATTTTTTTAAAATCTTGTTTCTACTTCTCTTACCTTTCCTTCTGAAACTTTAATTAATAAAAATCTTCACATCACTAACCTGTTTTGTGAAATAAAAGGCTGTGTGATTTGGACATTGTACAAATATCATATCTGTGTGACATTCATTCAAGCAACATACAAGTCCATTCTTTTGAGTGCCAACACACTCATGCTGCTAGGCTGGCTTTCAAACCTCAGATGGGATTGACACAGTGCCTGCAGCAGTGGGCTTGAGCATGGTGGAGATGTCTAAGGATGGAACAGAAAAGGGGAAGGGTCTGATCTCTTGTTCAGAGGGCCACTATGAAATGCTACTGACTCTGTCCCATTGGATGGACTTTGACCTCCTTTTGAAAATAGTTGTCTATAGTTATCTCTTTATTCATAGCAAATACATTTTTAAGAGACATAAATGCAGGTTATATACTTGGATTTCACCTGATGGTATGCATAGGAATCAGAACGACTACATCTGTGGAAAGAATCCTTGGAGAAGCTCAATATCAGCTGTGAAAACTAGGCCAGGAGCTGATTGTGGAACAGACGACCAACTACTCATATGCACGTTCAAGCTGAAGTTGAGGAAAATTAAACCAAATCCAAAGCAACCAAAATATGACTTTGAGTCTATCCCACCTGAGTTTCAGAACCATCTCAGGAACAGGTTTGAGGCCTTGAACACTAATGAGCGAAGACCAGATGAGTTGTGGGAGGATATCAAGGGTATCATCCAGGAAGAATGCAAATGGTCATTGCAAAGACAGAAGAGGAAACAAAGACCAAAATGGATGTCAGAAGAGACTCTAAAAATTGCACCTGGAGCACAGTGAAGCCAAAGCACAAGGAAGAATTCAAGATACTAAAGAGTTGAATAGAAGATTTCAAAAGGCAGCACGGGATTACAAAGCAAAATATTATAATGAAATGTGCAAGGAGTTGGAGTCAGAAAATCTAAAGAGCCTAACTCGCTCAGCATTTCTTAAGCTCAAGGAACTGAAGAACAAATTCAAACCTAGAGTTGCTATAATCAAGGATGCTTTTGGCAGAATGTTAAATGATCCAGGAAGTATTAAAAGAAGATGGAAAGAATATACTGAGTCACTGTATTGAAAGGAATAGGCAGACACAGAAGAATTTCATGAAACAACATAAGAGCTAGAGCCTATGGTGATGAAAGAAGAAGTTCAGGCTGCTTTGAAGGAAATGGCAAAAAATAAGGCTCCAGGAATAGATGGTATACCAATTGACATATTTCAGTTAACAAATGCTGCCCTGGATGTGCTCACCAAGTTGTGCCAAGAAATCTGGAGAACAACCACTTGGCCAACTGACTGGAAAAGATCTATGTTTGTTCCCATTCCAAGGAAAGGTGACCCAACAGTGTGGAAACTATAGAACAGTCTCATTAATTTCACATGCAAGCAAGATTCTACTGAAGATTATCCAAAAACGACTGGAACAGCCCATCAGCAGAGAACTACCAGAAGTCCAGGCTCGGTTTAGAAGAATCGTGGTACTAGGGATATTGTAGCTGATGTTAGATGGATCTTAGCTGAAAGCAGGGAATACCAGAGGAATGTCTATTTGTGTTTCATTGAGTATGCAAAGGCATTTGACTGTGTAGATCATAACAAACTATGGCTGACTCTGAGAAGAATGGGAATCCCAGACCACTTGATCGTTCTAATGTGAAACCTATACTTGGGCCAGGAGGTAGTCATCAGAACAGAGCAAGGGAACACTGCATGGTTCAAAATTGGGAAGGGCGTACGCCAGCGATGCATCCTATCTCCATACCTTTTCAACCTAT